GCGAACGAGCACATATAGGCGATCGGCGGGCTATGGACCCGCTGATCACCTATATGTGAAACACCCGGTAACGGGTGTGTGCAATGGTCGGGTCTTTTCTGCCCGTGCGTGCCCGCTAGGGGGCGCGCGCGAGTAGAAAAAAATTGCCATCTGGAGACGGCAACCCGCCAATGCAGCAGTGCCGTCCGTCCGTTTTTTTACTACGGGCGGACGGCAAGAGGTTAAAAAAAAAAAAAATTTTTTTTTTTTGTGTGTGTGTGTGTCTGTCAGTGTTTTTGAGGGCCCGTTCACACTAGTACAGTGCGTTAATCGAACAGTCCTGTGCAATTAAAGCACTGTACCATGTAATTACATCTACTACTACGCGTTCTGGTGTGGGAGGTGCATTGCGTTGTCATTCATTTGAATGGCACCCCAAACGCACCTCCCGCCCACAGTTCAATCCCCCACACCGGAACGCGCGGTACCGCAATGCCATGCATTCCATAGCAGTTCGACTTGGGTCACGACTTAACGACCAAGGACAAATATGAGTCCTGAGGTTAAACAGGTTGAGAACCACTGCTCTCATGGGAGATGTGTCTTGATGAAAACACCAAAAGGTGCTGCAAAGCAGGGTTTTTTTGTACTAAAATGCAGGGGTAAATAGGCACCAAACATGTCAAGCTTTAAACTTGCGCACAACCGCAAAAAAAAACTACCATACCCCAAATTGACCATAGGCGACGCTTTAAAAGATTTTACCGTCATCAGTTTGGTGTTATCAGTGATTGATGGCCATAGAAATATTGCTCTCACTGCGATGTTCGCGGCGATATGAAGCATGTGTGACGTAATGGGCGCAATCCTCATTTTCGCAGGTATGCATGTGTGTATGTATGGGTGGGGACTTTAAAAAAAAATTGTGTTTTTTTTTAATTCTTTATTGCTATCACATAGGGAGCTAAGAAACCCCCCTAAGTGATAGCAAAGAGGATGTGACAGGTCCTCTTTATGGAGACATCAGGGGTCTCCAAGACCCCTATCGTCACCTAGGACCCCCCAAAGAAGCTGATGAAGCAGAGATCTGCTTCATCAGTTTCTCTCCAGCGTATGAAGCTGGAGAGTGACAGCAGAATGCGGAAGTAATGTAATATACATCACGTCTGCATTCTGACAGCGGAGAGGGGACCGGAGGTAGACTGTGTACCGATCTCCCTCTGATCCCCTTTCAGAGAGCCACTATGCTGGTCCCGGGCTCGCACCGGAGCCCGGGCTCAGTGTGACAGCGGGAGGGGGGGCCGCGGAGGGCATGGACCGGCAGCTTATACAAGCGATTGTATGTTAACAGGCATTGCTGCCTGTTTTTACATTTTGGGTCTTTCCTGCTGGCGCCCTGCGCGCGAGTGGGTGTGGATGAGCGGACGTCCAAAGACGCCCGCTCAGATCTAGAGAGCACCCGGCCGGCAGTTTTTTTTACAACGGCCGGCCAGGAGGTGGTTAAAACTCAAAATAATTTTTTTAAGATAAAAATTATTGTCTGAAGTGACTGGTGATATATATCAACTACTCAATTGAATGGCAAGGAGGCCACCATGAGTACAGGTCGTGCACAGCAATGAATGAGGCTAGATTGGGCATGCACACAGGGCACAGGACATTTTTGCAAAAGCCATGGGGCCTGGTCAGGGTCACACAGTGAAGAAATCAGGAGCGGGGAAGAAGGCAAGTATTTAACTATTTGGACTTTACTGAGGGGGGTGTAGTGCAATTGTCCTTTAAATAGGAAATGCACATAAATCTCCACACTATATTACATGGTCTTTTCAGAAAGCATATCTCTTAAACTATATAAATCTAATTCTCGTTTCTGAATATATAAGTAGAATTGTGTATTTTATTCTTAAAGATATGAATATGATTTTACAAGTTAAGGGATAATGACAGGTTCATTTAATAAGATAGTCACAATTCTCCTGCTGTCTATATTAATGCAAAATATACATCAGTTCGGTATAATGCACTTGAA